TCCTGGCCTTGCTACTAGGAGCAAGGACGCTACTAGGGGCTCCTGGCATCGCTACTAGTAACAAGAAGCTACTATAAACAACATGTCAAATACCTTTCCGCACCCACGTGGCCATCTGAATTTGGAGGTAGGCCGCTGGTATAGGTAAGCTAGTAGCTCAAGTTAGCTCCACATAACTGGAAACAGATGCTTCTTTGAAGAAGCGCTCGGACTAATCATTTGGTTCCTATTGCGAAACTTAATACAGTGATCAAGTGAAAGTAGGCAACCTAACTCGACAGTCTCCTGGGATCACCGACCACAATGAGACCACAGCGAGCTCGGGTCAAAAGTACCTCGTTTCATGTCAAAGAAGCATGAACGTCTCGAAACAACCCCGCAACAAAAAAAATATAGTCTATACAATGTACATATATATCCAACATATACATACATACATTATATACTTATATACACATATAATAGCATATCATATATATATATATGCTGAGCGCCGTAAAAAAGGTGGAGCAGCTGTGCTGTTCGATCGCCTGAATTCTGAGCTTCAAACGTTCACCCGGCGCCTGTCGCTCAAAAAGCCCACAACCTCAAGATCTCAAAATCTCACACATGCACCTAATAATCTAATAGCAATGGCCTCCGACCTAATAGCGATGGCCTCCAACTTAATGGCGATCGATGGCCTGGAACCTAATAACGATGGCCTCAAAATCTAAAATATCTCAGTTTCAAGCCTTTCTAGGGACTGGGAAAACTAGGTACGCGACCCCAGCAGGATTTGATCTTGTAGCAGAGAAAATCAAGAAATCGCATTCACCCCCTTGCAAAGCATCAATTGTGGACACCTGCGCAACCGGTGCCAGGCTTGTTCTCACACACTCTGACGGTCGGCGCTGTGCCTGGAGTCGATGATCTGGCGGCAAATCTGCCAAACGCCTCTCCGGATCTGATTCAAAAGGAGAACGCCATTAGGGGCTACTAGGGCGCTCCTGGCCTTACTAGGAACAAGAAGCTACTAGGAACAAAGGGCATCGCTACTAGGAGATAGGACGCAAATTCACAGCCAATTCAACCAATACCCCAATGCTCGGCTTGATCTCTGGTGTCCGCCATGCCTCTCCAGAAGTGCTCGTTGTGCTCGGTAAGGTGCGACCAAAAGGATGGACTGCAAAGATTCAGGAAATCACTCACAACAAGAAGCTACTATAGGGGCTCCTGGCATCGCTACTAGGAGCATGGACGCTACTAGGGGCTCCTGGCCGTACTACTAGGAACAAGAAGCTACTAGGGGCTCCTGGCCGTACTACTAGGATTGACACATCAATGCCCACAATCTTTGGACAAAACAACGTGCAAGACGCCCACCTTTCTGTAGTGTTAAGCGGTACCTATTGGACCAAGAACCATGGCATGGCTTGCCTCAAAATCCGCCAACTCAGGAAGGAGACTCATCACAATATCGGCCTTGAGGGTGGAACCAACAGACAGAGATGACGCTTGATGATATATAATATATAGTTTAAATTAGTTTGCTATTAGGTTGGAGGCCATTGCTATTAGGAACAAAGAAAATAGAAAAGGAAGAAAGGTCTAATAGCAGACCTACTTCCCTGTTGACTCTCAAAAGAGACCCCCACTACCTTTCCCTTACGAACCAAATGTGACATGCGACGTGAAATCAACTCTTCTCCGTAAACTCTTCTGAACATGGATGTGGCCTCCGTCGGATTGCAAAAGGACGAGCCCACGCTTTGCTCGCGGCTGTGTACGCCTGACTCGCCACACCAAATCTTGAGACAAGGAAAAGTGCATAAAGACATTGCTTGCTTTACACGGAGAAGTACTTCACCAAGTCTTCCGACCAAACATATGACCAGGAACCAACAAGAGCAGAATCACCTCGGAATTCGATTGCGGAGCGCCCTGGAGCGCTGGCAGCGCTGGCAGCGGCAGCTGACCGGAGCTGACCACCATAGAACGCTGCTGCAGGAAATTCGCAAAGCGTGGGATGCATTCGAAACCTTTGAGCAACTCGTTTCCACACAGTCGAACAAATCAAGAAACTTGTATCTGTTTGAGAAACACGTTGTTTGAAGAAACACAGAGCATTTTGTATGGTGTCAAGGCTCTGTGTATCCAACAGCATTGGCTGTTGCTGTCCAGACAAACGATCGAATAGGGTTGTGGAAAGACCCCAGCGAATCGCCTTCAATGAAAGCACCTCACACGGGACGAAAGGACATCCATAAGGCGTCCGTGACTGAACAAAAAAATGAAATGAGTAATACAATGTATCTATACATTGACATAACAATTACAATTCCATTGATGTGTTTTCTTGATACACATTAAAAAAGAAAGCGAAGCGGCGAAGCTCAAGCATGTGTGTTTTTGTTAGCCCGCTCCTAATCACTTAATTAAGTAAAGGAGTAAGCTTAGACGACTGGATATATAGCTTCGAGTAACTGGACGCAGGATAGCTCCCCCTTCTTCAAGGAAGCTTTTTCTTCGAAATCGAAATGGATTCGATCAGGCACCGTCGGTGGCAATTGCTGAGGATCTCCCAGCAGGACCAGCTGCTCAGCTGCGCTTCTGGATTTCGGCTAAAACGCTCAAGAAGGAAAAGAAAGGAAGAGAAAGGCAAAAGTCTATATAAATTGTCGAAGAAAACACAAAAGAAAATCTCACCTACTGAAGCTGGAACTCAATCCCTATCCGGACACAGTGCAGGTATGAATTCTAGCTGGAAGAGCATTTTGTTTGGAATCCCGGCGTCAAACCTGTGACGACCCCGCTGTAGAAATCGACGATCGGGTGACTCTCCTGCAGATCGGGATCAAAGCGGCAGGTTCCGTTGCTTGCGTGGCTTCATCAATGAGCAGCCACCGAAAGCCCACAGAGCTCAGCAAATCGTGACCTGCCATCACAAGGCAATCCAATTCTCAGCCATTAAAGTTATCAAATCTTATCCATGCTTCCTTTCCAACAGGGTGAGACAGTGTAATCATGTGCAAACTGCCAGCCTGCACCAGTGCATGTGGCCACTACGACTCGAGCTGCCTGAAGCTGGCGTTGAAGCTCAGACCACGGCACATCACCTGCGTCACACGTCGTTGAGAATCTCTGTCTCCAGGAGTGGTGTTCTGCTTTGGTCGTTTCTGCTTTAGCTCTGACACAAATCCAGGAGTCTCCTGTCCATCGCATGTGCATCACAGGTAAACCCTGCAGCGCATCCACCAAGCGCTTTGCAGCCACATGTGACTCAGCAGTGCAAAGCACGCGCCCTGCAGGGCGTTTGATCAACAGAATGTCAACGTTCATCTCCCTCACTCCTTCCCTCTCTCTCAGCATCACTCGTTGGATCCATCGTCTGCCTTCGTGATGTTTGATCCACTCAGACACCATGGCGGCAGCAGTGCTCGTCTTGCCTGTCCCCGGTGGACCTCACGAGTGTGCCCTGAAGAAAGCAACACAGTATTGAGGCATGGTGGCGTCAATGTCAAGAGTTTGGCAACAGCAAAGGAACCAAGTTGGGCAAAGACATTCTTAAAATGTCTTTAATAATAAAGCTTGAGTTGATATTACAAATGGTTTCCTCGAGTTATATAAGTTTAAATACAAGAGCTTGCATCCCAAACATTTGTTAGATAGCAAACAAATGCAAACAGCATATTCTTCAGGCCAGCGACCATGTACCAGCAAGAGCCGCTGCCTCTGGCCCGCCGCAATGACCTCACACTGAGGCTTGGTCCACTTGCTCCATTTACCTGAAGATTTGGAGGCACTGACTGAGAATGACTTTTACAGGTATTATATGTTGCTTTTAAGTCAAAAACAAATGATCTAATCTGCACACAAACGACACATACCACAATATCGATATGTACACGTGGCATCTCTTCTAGCACAAACAAGCGGTTCCAAGCTACCCTCATTTGCTTGTATTGGCTGTGAAAGCAAGACTTTGTCGGCGAGCTGACCTCCCAAGAAAGCGATTCAGCCCACTAGGAAATCGGTTGCCTGATTGGCAAAGTGGCAAGGTACATCAAGGAACACCATGGCTCAAGATAAACCCAGTGAAAGCAAGAAAAACATTCAAAGTAACGATACCAACATGTGGTGTCTTTCCCACACTTTCTTGGTTTCCTCACAATGTGTCATCTCATATTCTCTCCGTTGCCTTCAGATCCTCCAGGTCGAATCAACCCACACAACGGACCAGACCAGCAAGGGACTTCGCGGCAAAGTCCACCTTGTGAAACTGCAACTTGACGTTTTTGATGGAAAACGCTTCAATCGGCTAAAGGTCGCGCAGAAAAAAACACAAAGAAGCTACTAGTAACAAGGGCATCGCTACTAGGAGCAAGGACGCTACTAGGGGCTCCTGGCCTTACTACTAGGAACAAGAAGCTACTAGGAACAAGTGCATCGCTTCTAGTAACAAGTGCCTTATTAGTAGTAACAAGGACGCTACTAGTAAACCCTTTGGTCTTCTCAGTTCCCCGGCGTAACGCCAGGACTGCGCGTTCGCCCGGCACGGCCAAGGCCACTCCGAAAAGCAGCGCCGCGACTCGCCGGGAAGAAGAAGAACGTGAATGGCGTTGGTTCGCTCCACCTTCTTCGTCCTAAGTTGGAAATGGTTGAACATGGTTGAACTATCTATAACAACT